GCATCCTAGGTGTATATGACTTTCTTCTTTCAGACGAATCCAGTCGGAGTTATATAAAAAATTGTCCTGGCTATTCTAAGCTCTATCATTGCAGTCAGCGGGTGTTGCATTTGAACAGTCCACAAGTCATCAAATAAAGCACTTGCATTCATAATAAAACGTGCCGCAGACGGCTCCGGGGGATGAATAAAGGCCCCCTGTAGCGAATCCATGAGTTTTTGTAAGAAAAATATCCATATTTCAAACGTAATAAACACTTTTCTCTCACTTCCGCTGACTGTCATACACTGAAGCAGTTCCGGCGGATGACGTAAGACGCGCGGCGTTGCGTTTTATTATGAATGCAAGCGCTTTATTTGACGACTTGTGCATTGTTCAACTGCAACACCCGCTGACTGCAATGATAAAGCTTGGAATAGCCAGGACAGTTTTTAATATAACTCCGACTGGATTCGTCTGAAAGAAGAAAGTCATATACACCTAGGATGCTTCGAGGGTAAGTAAAACACAAGCTAATTTTCATTTTTGGGTGAACTAACCCTTTAAAATATTTCCTTTTGTGCTCCTCAAAAAAAAAGAGAAAGTCATAGAGGGTTGGAATGACACAAGGGTGAGTAAATGACAGAAGTTTCATTTTTGGGTGAACTATCCCTTTGAACAGAATTCAGCTATAACAGTTATAGAAGGCAAAGAACACGCGAGAAAGAGAGAAAGCATAAGAAATATAATAAAGTGATTTGGAGAGGCATGTCGAGGAAGCTCTTTTATATGGTTTGGACCTCTCTAGGGTGAGGGGTGAGAAATGCCTTGATAAAAACTGAACTGCCATGACACATTTCAAGCCTCCCTTCCTCTCCCATTGTACTTTTTCTTCAGAACTGTCTGTGAGAAAGGAGGTATTGTCACAGAATAATTACTCAGTACTCAATATGGTCATGCCTTCAGTGATAATGACCCGCTAAACACTCGCAGACCCTTCCCCCAGCACAGGCCTGAATGAGTTAACCGCAGTCTCTATGAAAGGACTCCATTATGTAGAGCGGTTGTGGCTGTAAACATTTAGCGATGCTCGAAATACGCAGATGATTGTGCTGGATTTTCAGCCCTTATTCAGAACAGGAAAAACTAGCTATAAATAAAACAGGGCCAAAATAACTTAAAAATGAGAGAAATTGTACTTTAATTCGAATATATGAACATCAAGATTCACCATTGTGGTTAAATGGGTAAAAAAAAAGAAAAGTGTCTTCATCAGCTGGTTGGCTTTGAAAAAAGCGAGCAAGTGGCAAAAGCTGCCTGATGTGGCAGACGGTGATGATGTCATGGTTTGGCACACAAACGCACAGTAGGGAGTTTATGAGGAAACGGCCTGCCGAACAGACCACTGCATCGTTTAATGTGAAACCATACCGCAAGCAACACGACATGGAGAAAAACAGGCCTAGAGAGAAAATGCAAAGCTGCAGTTCGGTTGCAGCAGAATGGAAAACAAAGCACAGCCAGCTATGTGAAAATCAACTTTTAAACTCATTTCGACTGGGTCTGTAGCTCCGTTTACAGTAGAGAGAGTGAGTCACCGGGGTCGGGCATGACCACGTTAAGATTGACTCTGTACTTGAGGCTAATGAGAGACTTCCAGACCACAGGTAGGGGGGAGAGAAGGGAACTGCCTGCTGCGGTCAAGCTCCACAGCCTCATTCCACTATACTAGACTCACTACCAGAATCCTTTTGATGAGAGGCCGCCTCACAATTGATCCCTCATCGTCCTTTTCTGCCGGCCAGAGTTAATTACAGATCCCCTGTGTAGGCACGAGTTAGCATGGCTTTCCCTTAGTTGCGTCTCATTGGATTTCTAATCTTGATTGAAATCGCTACTGACTGGAGAGCTGGTCTCACACTATTAGGTGTTGGTTTAAGGTAAATTAAAGGCCTATTGTGCTTATTCAGACTAAACAGGACGCGGCGTAGGTCTCCTTGAGGCGTGAGGTCAGCGCTGTGACGGAAAAGGCTTTAAAAGTGTTTAACTACTGATCGGGTTCACTGAACTGTTCCTGTTAGCGCCGGCTGCACTGATACAGTCAGACACCGAGAGGGCTGAGAGCATCGTGGGAAGGGTACGAGATGCTCACCTGGAAACGGGGCAGGTCGGAGGGCTTGAAGTCGTTCGGCGAGCAGCCGCACCAGTCCACGATGTGCTTGTATTGACACTTGCAGCCCAGCTTTCGATTCCAGTTAGTGATACGAAGGTTGTTGTCCACTATGCTCTCGCAGTGCGGGCTGTTCTCCAGAACCGTGTGGAAGAACGACTGTGAAGACAGAGAGAGGATCGGGGAGGAGGAGGATGATAAATAGGAAGGGACGGTGAGAGGTGAAGAGAAAGAGAAGCAAATAGATGACTAAGAGGTTGAAACAGAATAATGACATCTGATAAAACGAAGATGGATGTCTAACAGAATGGCCCTGTCAGGAGCTCTAGTGTGTTAAATGTCTACATCAGTAAAAAAGAGCCAATTGCCTTCTCAAGCCACAATATCCAATATCTCAGCAGTGAATAACTAGACCTAGACAGAGCGAAGAATCCAATTTCGTTGCAGCACGGTAAAAAGCCCTTCATTAAAACTAACACATTGACACAGTCATTTCAAATGAGCAAATACACAATGCAAATGAGCAAATAAAACTATGCAAATTCATCTCGCTTTTTGGAAATTTACTCAATTTATCATCGTAAACTTAAAACTCATGAATAAGTGAGAAATATTAATGAAAAGCCAATCTAGTGAATTAATGTAGCAGAATCCTTGTAATATTGTGCAAAGTCATTTTCTTGATCATTATTATTGTCTTGGTTTTGTAGGAAAAAATATCTAAATATCCTTAAAACAAGATAAATCTAATTTACAGTGAAAATTGTGTAAAGATAATTTTTTTTCAGAGAATATATCTTGAATATATAATATTATCATAAATATAAGAATAATATACATAAGTTTTCTTACCCCATTTTTTTCTTTTCTTGTTTTAAACTTAAACCCAGCTCATAAATTTATTTAGATTTGTTCATTATTATTTATTATTTATTATCCAATAATAAATGTAATGCAATATACATTCTCTAAATATCTTATTCAGGCAAGTAAATTTTCATTGTTTTAAGGATATTTAGATATTTTTTGCAGGAAAACAACACATTTTTACTTCTTGAACATTAATTTTGCATTATTTTGGTGTCTCACCTCTGCAGGTAAGAGTGTGTACGCGTAGAAACGTTTCATGTTGGTCACAAGGTCATCTTGAGAGTTGATGACATACTCCACGAAAATTCGGTTCAACAGAAACCAGTCAGAGCCTCCATCCACGGATATGCCTTCTGGAATTTTTCTGTCTCCAAGCCGCCACATATGGGTGTCACACTCAAAGAAAAGCCGGTCCAAACCTTGTTTTCTGATGAATCTGTTGGCAATTATCAACAATGCAAATTACAAATGTATTTTTATCTGTTATAAAAGGCACCCTTCTGTGCGACTGGCACGTGTTTGAGTGTCTTGGGCACCGTAAGCCATCAGCGTGATCACACGTCAGCACTCACCGAGCGTTATCTCTCCCGTGGGACTTGATGAAATTCATATCTCTGTATTTGGACAGGAAGGTCACCAGCTGATCATTGGTCCTGAGGAGACATTGAAAAAATGTTGGAAGAGAAACCAGAAAACAAGTGCTGGAGAGAAAGAGTAACAGAGAGTTTGCAAATCAGGCTAATGAGCCACAGTGTAAATGAGCGCGGAGCATGAGGGATTCTGGGTGAGTCCAAGCTCACATACAGAGCCAGATTCCGCCCCTAATGCCAGCTGCCCTGTTTCACCGCCTGTCGCAATGCATTGCCTGAACGTCTGTAGTCAGTTTTCCCCATACACACTCCTCTCTCACATTAGTTTTATTCACTGCAGGCTTCTGGTACAGAGGAAAGAACTTCACACTAAAGATAAAAATAATAATAAAGTCTTTATTTATCGCAATACCAGGGAAAGTGGAAATTGAAAAATGGCTTGCTCAAAGGAACAGCAGTCATAGCTCACATTTTTGGGGATCAAACCAGCAACTTTTTGGTTACTAGCCTTGACTATGAACAAGAATCGCAATAAAGTTTGCAAATTACTGTTAGGTAGTATTTGCGAACATTCTTGCAATGAAAGTCAATGAGAGAATTAAATGTTAAAGGTGCTGTACCATTATATTTTACTTTTAAATTCTTATTATAACCTTAATAATTCACTTCTTATAAAGCTTACAAATTTTAACCCTTGTACTGTGGTGAAAATCCTTTACCTAATTTGGTGTTCCCAGTCAAAAATGACCAGCCTTTAAAAATGTCTTGTAAGTCTCTCATTATGCCTTATGATTACAAAATCTTAGATTCTATCTTTTTGTCAACTTGTTTTCTTTCAATTAGCACAGGTTTTCTTTTTCTTTTTGGAACGGATTGCGAAAAAAGTATTTTTTTTTGTGGATAACTTTGGCAATGTTCAACCCACAAATGTGGTGCATAAGCTCAGATCATAATGCCATCAGTTGAAAACAACAACAGAAAATACAAAACTTGTGCTATTTGAAAGAAAACAAGTTGATAATATAATAAGATTATAAAATAATAAGATTAAATCCCATATATAGCAACAATATAGCAAAACAATTTACAAACAATTTTTGGTAGGCCAGTCATTTTTGGCCAGGTCAGGAAAAAAATAAAAGATGGAAATTGTTATACCTTGTACGTGCAAAGTCAGTAAGTTTTAGTCCTATACGCTAAAATTAACTAGGATTGGTTGGTAATTGCAAAAAAAAAAAAAAAGAAAAAAAAAAAACTGTCTCCTATTTTGTGTCCAAAAGAAGGAAACACATGTTTGTTTGCAACCAAACAGTTATAAATAGCTGAGGTGAATTTGTTGATGCTTGCATTTGATTTTTAGCTCCATAGTAAACGCTCTGTCATCCCGTCAACACTTGCATGATGTCGTCTACATGCCTACAGCCGCACACGTCAATCACACACCTACTTTATCTTACACGTCTCTTAAGTTTCAATAGCTTAAGACACTATATCATCATTTGTTATACAGCCACATTAAATGTTTAACTGCTGTGGTAAATAGATCAAAACACACAAATGCACTCTGACCTACAGTGTCTTCCTGTTTGCCAAAGATCAGCACGGGAAACCCAGGGTAGCATTTGAAATGAAAGCCTGCTCCAGTGCTCAGCGCATGTACAGCTGCCAGTCACTCCCTGCGCTGGCTAAACTCAGACCTCAGGCTATTAGAGTGCTGTATTCTGTAACCGAGCTACCAGCGAGATTTGAAATATGACTGCAGTGCTGTCAAATCTGTGCAATAATAATGAGCATCAGTCCGAGTGGGAGGGAGCAGGAGAAAGAGAGAGACAGAGGGGATGTTTACGCGTAATTTTTGAGGTCTCTTCATGGTATGCAAATTTTCTCTAGGCACGGAATACTTGGATGACCTGCTACAATTGTACAGAATGCAACCAGAGCACATCAAGAGGAATACTGTATACCATAATGCAATGTGCCCAACTGGATCTCATGAATGAACTGGAAGCAAATTATATCTGTTTTGAACCCCTTTTTAAACCAGACTGCGAAAAAAAAATGAAGAATGAAAAATGAAAAAATAAAAATGAATTTTTAGTGAGTTAATGTGACATCAATGTAGCATAATACAATTTGAAATGTTTATTGCACACTGCATAAGCAAAAAAATAATATAAAACAAATAATCACCTATAAGAATGCAAATAAATGCAAGAAGACCAATCATAACACAATATGCAAATTACAGTTAGACATGAATTATGAACATTCTCAAGTATACTGCATACTATTTTTTTCATTTAGTAATGTGAATACACTATTTATAGCATATATATTAAATACAGTATATACTGCATAGTACTTAGTAAGCTAGTATTTCATTCTGAAATGGTCTGTAGAGCTTCTCCGTTCCAGAAGAGGGCGTCATGGAGCCCATGTGACCACATGGGAAGAGGAGAACAACAGAGTACAGACTCATTGTTTTCTCCTTTTCTCTCTTCATGAAAAGGCCATAAATACAGCTGCTTTGACTTAAAAACAGGGCTGGAGAAAAAGAGCAAGATGGTGCGGATAAATAGAAGAAAAGAGCCTGGCGCTCGCAACAAAGCCACTGTGTAACAGAGCCCTCCACCCCTGGCGTCCAGGCTCGCCTATAGAGCAGAGAGCCCCTTTCACAGGCATCCATGCAGAAGGACGGACATCAGGAGGGAATTAGAGGGGAAAATAACCAGCTAAGTCACCAGACACAGGTATCGCACCTCCCTCAGCACCGCAGTCATGACATGCGGAAAAAGCGTTCTGCAAAAGAGCTGTGCACAGGTCTTTAGGAAGGCCAAGACTGAAGACATCCTCTCAGGACCTCTAACATGCACTGTCATACGCAATTAGCCGGTAATGGGAGCAGATGCTATGAAGCTGAACGCAGTCTGCAGTGTCTCTAAAGTCAACCTTCTGCAAACACACTGAAGTCAGGCGTGCAGTTGAACATTGTCTTTGGCTTTGTTTCTATTTCCCTCTGTCTGTCTCTCACCTCACTTTCTGTCTCACACTCGCTTCGTCTGTCAAAGGCCATTGGTTGCAAGAGTGAGAAAAATATTCAATGTCTTCAAGTCTTTCTGGCCAAATTGAGATTAGGTCTAATGGAGTCCAAACAGGCTTCGCCCACTTGATCTATCAGTCTGTGCTCACTTTTGTCCAATCAGAGGAGATCTTTCACCTACAGCACTGGAGTGCAACAGTCGGGTTCCGGAAGTAAAAAAGTCGGGTTCTCCATAGGAGAATTAACGATAAATTACAAACCTTTACAGACTGATGTACGGTGAGCTATATGGTTGTTAATCGATGGTACATGCTTTTGTTGAAGCCATCAGCATGCATTATTTCAACTTCTTTTTTAAATAATTGTGTTCAACAGCAGAAAACCCTGGTAAAATACACATGACCCATGATTATGCAGAGAAACCTCCACCAATCAAGGAATATATAACTACGCCAAAATTACACTTTAGAAACTACACCAAAAGAGCATTTTAGTGCCAGCCCACTCCCATGATGCACTGTGAATTATGTAGTCAGTTTCCCTACACTCTCAAACTACATAAATATTTGCATGTTTAATATGCATATTTTGCAATAAATATAAAATATTGTTGTATATAAATATCTAAACATCAGGGGTGTACTCCAGAAAGTCTGTTATTGTGGTGACATTTCCACGCCCCGAAACGTGACGCTGAAACGAAACGATTGGTTGTTTAACATGTCGGTCAAACGGCCTCATGGGCGGGCCTTGGCCAATGAAAGCTGCCATGGATTCCAGACCTTCAGCCATCAGTCTGAAGGTCTGGCTACGCGAGACTACATATCCCCTGAACTCTTGGTTGATTAACCCAAACCTTGCTTACTTGAGGTATGTTGGTTCCAAAAATGCATCCGGGAGTAGGTTATGTTCAGAGAGTAAGTTGCTATGTCTACTTACATACCCTGAAAGTTACCTCCGTTTTTGGAACCGAATGCTGAGTTTATCTACTTATGTACCCTTAAACATACCCGGGTATGTCACATAATCTGCTTTCTGGAATACCCCCCTGGAAAATAAAATCACTTTGCATGAGAAGCGAAATTGCACAAGATATCAGGAATTATTAAAAAGAAAAATTATTTAATTAAACTGTACTTCTCTTGCCCCATTGGTAAAAAGTTTTAAGCATAAATCTAAGAACGTAGAGAGGATGCACAGATGTTAAAATGCTACCTATTTTGTCTTTTGTCTACATAAATTAAAAGCAAATGGATATTTATATTTTTCAGTATTCTCTCATTAAAGCAGTTAAATGCATTCATGCCATCTTTGTACCTTTGTACCATTGTCTTTTTGTCCTGTTTTCAGATGTTTCTTTGCTTCAAATCAAAGTTCACCTTATAGCTGGTTGGTTTGGTTCATATAAAGACTTGAATGGGAAAAATACTTCCGGAACCATGGCCGCTAAACAAGTGGGCAGGCACTGTTGCACTCTATACACTTCAATGCCACAGATAGACAGAAACAGAACAATGCTTTGTGGTAGCTGATTAAGAGGGCATAAGCATACTTATATAAACATACTTTTTCATGCTGTGGACTTCACACTGTCTTCAACATTTATTTTCCTCGCAGCTTCATCTCTGCTGACCCATGTTTCTGTTGTGATAGTGGACTGAGAAATAAGTCTCCATTAACACAACCGGAGGAGCCGGATCGGACTCCTTAATGGACCGATTTGTCCTCATGTTTTAGAGAAATGGTGTTTCTCCACAGTATAATACAAATGATAGCAACTACATCACTGCACTACACACACACACACACCCTGACAGACTACTTATAGCTTGCACCTGAACCCTACTCCGAGCTTGAGATGAAAATAATGATTTTATTTTTCTTTGATGTTCTGCTTTAAAGGGGTTTTGGCTCATAGCTAACTTTCCTCTCTGGTCTGGAGGTGTGGCGTGCGACGGAGTGATAGAGAGGCAGGATTAACCTTGAATGGCTGCGCGGGGCAGGCCAGAATTCATCACATGGCTGTATCGATCTCTAACACCCTGATTTCTGAGGGCTGCAGAAAATGACATGGCTGTAATATTGATTGTAGCCGGGGGAGTAGCTGGGTTACTCTACCTCTCATCCTGCTCTCATTATGGACTGAATAGTTATGCGCGCTAATGGCATTTATCATGGTGATAATTCAAATTTTCAGACACAGTTCAGCTTACAGACAGAACTGCCACATTGAGTTACAGGTAATGTGATGAGATACTGGAATACTGGGGCATTTTATTTATTTATGTTTTTTAAATGTGAAGAATATTTGGGAAAGAAAAATAGTGGACTTAAAAAAAAAAAGAAAAATATAAAACAAACTGATTATGTATAAATGTTATATATATATATATATCCCTTTCTCTCTGTCTCTCTCTATATAGTCATTTTTAAAATATATTTTAAAAACTATGCATCACTTTCTGGCGCAGCTACTTTCTAATATTCACAAAATATTAAAAAGTCCACAAGCTCTCATTTAATTTCAGAGCTCCTTTAAGTTCAATATCTTCAAGTTCCTTGTTTTTTTTTTATTGTGTTGTGGGGCTTTGTCAATATTAAATTGAGCTAATTCAGAATAAACAAGTACAATCTCCACAAGATGCGTAGATGTAATCCTTTAACAGTTCTATGAACCATCAGTTGACACCAGATCAAACAACCAATGGTGATCACAATTACCCATAATCCCCTGCTAAACTAAATTGTGACATTGCTTGGAACTAATCTCCCAGCAGCCCACAGCTAAATGCTATAGTCAGGTGTTAACTCAATTGCTCTCTGTGGCAACCAATAAACTTGAATCATTCCTGAGCGAAAACAATGACAATCCAAGCAATGCAAATGATATCAACAGAATAATCAGTCAAAAGTGGAGTAATGCGAGATAATGATGACTCACCTGATTGGGTAATCGGCAGCACTCAGGTTGATGAAGAAATCCCAGGACCAATCTCGCATGGCAAGCAGATCCTTCATGCTCTGCAGATACATGGTAAGCAGACTGGCACCACCCCATATCGTAGACATGCGCCACGGTGTGACCCGGACGTTAGGATACTGGCGAGCTAGTGCCACCATCTGCCTGTGCAGGTAGTTGGATCGCTGCGGGGTGAAAAAAGACAGGCTCTGGTTAATTTGGAGCCTGAGAACTTTATCTGGGATCAGTCAGTCAAACGTGACCAGTGTTATTATGAGATAAACAAAGTCTGACCATCCACTAAGGGCACCTTGTGGGGAAAAACTGATTGAATGAAGTGGATGAGGCTTTTTCAAATGGTCAGGTGGCACAGAGTTTCCTGTAATGTGTGTACACTGCAACATTTTCTTAGTCAGTGAATTTGTGTGTTTTTGGTTTCTGGTTCCCCTTCAGGAACTTGAGCTGCGTCGAGATCGCTTTGGGAACGCCCCTGCATGACCACGTTCTGAAGCACGTGTAAAATCAGTCCAATGGAGCAGCGAGACGTCACGAGCGGGGTGACGTGAGCGCCAGGAAGTATAAAAGCGCATCCGGCAAAGCGCAAGTTAGCTTCTGTTCTTCAGTAGCGCTCTGTGTATGTGTCAGTCTATTTACTGTTGTCTGTCAGTCCACAAGCATTCAAAAGAATATATCAAAGTGTAAACTAATATCTATGGTGAGCAAACGGCATTACAGACGTTGTGTGCCTCCCTGCCCACACTATCTGGCAGCGGGGGATACACACGATCTGTGTGTTGTTTGTTTAGGAGCGGAGCATGCACGGTCAGCTTTTGAGGAGCTGATTGTCATCACTGCGAGTTACTCTCGCTGCGTATGCTCCGCTCTCGCCTGGCTGTGTTTGATGAGAGTGGTCAGGCTCGCGATCCCGCTGGCAGCGGTCCCGCTGTTACTGAGGCACGGCGTAGACTGTTGTCGTGGGGATCGCAGGTGGATTTAGCGGAGGGATCCGAGACGGGCTCGTCCTTTTCTCGGTCCTCACCCGCTAGATCCGCGGCTCTCTCTCAG